TCGCCCTTATTACTTTGGAACAGTATTACTGATTTCATTTCTAAAACATGCTATGGGTTGAATTGTGTCCCCAAAAAATATATATTGGAATCCTAGCCCCTATACGTGTGGGTGTGATCCAGTTTGGGAATAAGGTTTTTGTTATGCTAATGAGGCCACACTGGTGTAGGGTGTGTCTTAAGCCAGTCACTTTGAGACATAAAAGGAGCAGATTAGGCACAAAGCAAGCACAAATGGAGAAAGATTGATGCCAGGTGGAGATCACAAAGGAATCAAGGAAAGAAGCTGAAAGAGACTAGGATTTTCTTCTAGAGGGGACAGAGAGCACCTTCCTTTAGAGCCAAAATAAAAAGAAACCAACCCATTGCCGTAGAGTCAATTCCGACTCATAGCGACCCTATAGGACAGAGTAGAACTGCACCATAGGATTTCCAAGTTGCAGCTGGTGGATTTGAACTGCCCACCTTTTGTTCAGCAGCCAAACACTTAACCACTGCACCACCAGGGCTCCTCCTTTAGAGCCAGTGCCCTGATTTAGACTTCTAGCCTCCTACACTGTGAGAAAATGAATTTCTGTTTGCTAAAGCCTCCCACTTGTGGTATTTCCGTTATAGCAACACTAGATAACTAAGACAAACAGTAATGCATAACATGACTTTGTAGTTATTTAGTGATTTCCTATAAACAAACTCCATCCATCTAGCTTGCCCCACGTTTTCCTGCCCAATAGTAGGACTGTGCTGCCGTATCCCTCTTCTTATCCTTCAGGGCCCAGCCTAGGTGCCATCTCCTCCGTGAAGCTTTGACTGATCCTAGAAGAAGTGTCTTCTCTCTTTTCCGAAATGCCAGACCATTCTGTATATGTCTCTTCGCTCACGTCGCCTTTCATGTTATAATCTGTTATAACAACCACCGTCCCCTTTATAGTAGCAGTTTTTGAGTCTTGGGGTAGCTTAAAAGAATACAAAGAGACAGGGAGTGTTTGGAAGACCCCGTGTTAAGAGTTTCGCCAACATGATGTCTCTTTTGGTATGAGTGTCAGGCACTGTCCCAATCCAAGCCTGATTCTGAAAGTCTTTCTCAGAAATGTTATAGGTTCCACAATGAGAATGTCTTCCCAGTTTTCTCCCAATTCTATTCCCCATCAGTATAGAACAGAGTGCTCTTATCCAATGGCCTTGTCTCATTATTGCTGTACATCACCACTGTGACTTTAGCTTTGTATTATCCACAGTTCACTCAGGCTGGTTCTTATCTTAGGCTCACAAAATTCTATAGGGAGATGTTAGATTGATGAAGATATTCTGTCTTAAAAGCCTGAGAAGAAAGATTGGGCAGAGGACATGAAGTTGAAAGGTTTTTGTTTATTGTATTTGTTGTATCTTTTTGCTGGAGTTACCAGTTCTCCTTTTAATTATTATCAAACCTCTTTGTGATTATTAATATTATTCTGCAACATATACTACCTTATTTTAGAGTTATTTATTTGTAGATCTTAATTGCCCTGATAGATTGTAAGCCCCATGAAAGCGAGGGCCACATCTTACTTGTCTTTGTAACCTCTCTGGCTTAACATCTCAGTAACATCTGTTGAGAGATAAATGAAAATGAACAGCTTAAGTAAATGGCTTAGTGAGCAAAAGATGTGCCTGGGAGTCTGAGGACAGCTGAATTGTATAGCCTTGAGCCCATTACCTCATTCCTAAAATAAATCTAATTGATAATGTCTCCCTTCTTTCCTACAAGGATATTTTGAGATGAAATTGGGTTACACATAACATTTTGAGCCTTTCAGAGGTAGAATTATATAAAGCACTTTGCCTCTCAGCAGTTGGGTAATTTAGTTAGATGACATCTTGTACTAGAGTCCACTTTAACGTGAAGACTTTATTGCAAGTTTTCTTTTAAAAAAATAAAATAAATGATTTAGCCTTTCTGATGATTTTGAAATTACTGAAGAGATTGCAAATCAAAATGTGTCTAGGAACTAAGTTAATTACCTGTCTGTGCCACTGTTGTTCTTTTCATGACCCTGGAGAAAGTCCCTTCCTTCTCTCTGCTCGTTTCTGGCTTTTATCAGAATATGTTTTAGTATTGCATGAAATGGAATCAGGAATTTTAGAGTTTTAAGCAAACGTAGCACCAACAGTGCCTGGTACATAATTGGTCCCAAGAAATGATAGCGGAATACATTAAGGCATCCAGCACACTGTGTCTACACCATGGATTACTCCGGTATTTCAGCCAGGTGTTTTCTCCAGCTTCTGCTTCAGTGCTGTCAGTGGTAGAGAGGGTTCACTCGTTCTCACTGTCACCAAATTTAATTCCTATCGAATGGTACCTTAGACTCGTCTGTGAGACTTTCTCTGATTCTTCTGGGCAGTTAGTCACTTCTGTGCTACATTCTTCAAGCATCTTAGTCATACCCTGAACACTGTAATATCCTCTTATATAATACCTGGTATGACTGCCATTCTAGACTGTGAGCTCCGTGAGGACAGAGATGTGTCTTATTTTCTTTGTGCTCTCAGCTCATAGTGGAGTACAGAATGGATAAATGACTGGAAGGAAGGGAGCAGAGAAAATAAGAGGAAAGAGTACATGTATTGATTGCCAAATCGGTGGTCTCCTAAGGGGGATAGATTCACCCTAGAGGTTGTATACCAAAGGCAATCTTTTAAAGTACCTGATTTGGTAGTTCTTAGTATAGTCACAAGGTTGTACAACCATCACCACTATCTAATTTCATAACATTTTCATCACCCCAAAAAGAAACCCTGTACTCATTAGCAGTCACTGTCCATTCCTCCGTACACCCAGCCTGTGGCAACCACTAGTCTGCTCTCTGTCTCTATGGATTTGCCTACTCTGGACGTTCCGTATAATGGAATCATACACTATGTGGCCTTTTGTGTCTGGCTTCTTGCACTTCCTTAGCATAATGTTTTCAAGTTGATTCATGCTGTAGCATGTATCAGGATTTCATTTCTTTTCATGGCTGAATAATATTCCCTTGTATGTATACACCACCTTTTTTTATCCATTCATCAGTTGATAGACATTCAGGTTGTTTTCGCTTTTTGGATATTGTGAATAGTGTTGCTATGAACGTTTCTGTAGAAGTTTCTATGTGGACATAAGGTTTTCAGTTCTCCTGGGTGTATACCTACGAGGGGAATAGCTGGGTCACACGGCAACCTATGTTTAGCTTTCTGAGGAATTGCCAAACGGTTTTCCAACGTGACTGCACCGCTTTATAATCCCACTAGCAATGCATGAGAGTTCCAATTTCTCCACATTTGTTACTGCCTTTTTTTAATTTTAGCCATTTAGTGGGTATATACTAGTATCATCGTGGTTTTGATTTACATTTCTCTAATGGCTAATGATATTGAGCATCTTTTCATGTGTTTACCACCTTCCCAGTGGCTTCTTTTGAATTTAAATGATTTCCATTTCCTTTTTTTTTTCCTTAAATTTTTTTGGATTATAAATTTTGTCCTTCTTGGCATATCTGTTTTTCCCCCCAAACTCTGTTGTCAGTCTCCAAGCACATTAAATACTCATGAAATCTCCTGTTAGAGACTGCATTGCCTCTCAGGGTGCCAGCCTGCTGGCGCCATTGACTATAAGGATTGAAGTGAGTTTCCACTGGCAACTTTCCAGAAAATGTCCACATTGCATTATTAGATAACGAGCTTCCATAGCCCCAATTACGAATTACAGTGATGATAATGCTTTATTAAAAAGCTTTTAATGTCATAGGAATGCCAAGATTTTTTTTTCAAAATTATACTTTCTTAACTTTTAAATCCCTATGAGGTAGAAGAGAAGACAGTAGCTGTCTCAAACACTGCTCCAAGAAAATACATGTGGAGGTTCGAATATCTAAGAAATTCCAGTGTGTCTTGCGCAGAAAACCTTTTTGAGCACAACCATTGTTTCCAGATGTACACTGAAATTTCAGATGGCTTTTAAATTACATACCAGTCCTGAATATAAATCACACTGCTTATATGTGATAATAACATTTTAATAATGTTGGAATTAGCATTTGCTATCATATTTGTTTTTGGCCAGAGAGAAAGGGAAGACAAGGTTTTGGAAATTCCATATGCCAATTTCTGCCCTGTACGTTGAAAGAATATTCACATTAGCCTTTAAAGGTGATGATCTGTAGTCATGGTCTTGAAAGGAATGTCTGCCTGACAACGTTACGTTTGTAGGATGGTTCACAGCAGTGTAGGTGTTCATTGTAGCTGCCAGGCCTTCCTGACTTTCAGCCCTCACAAGCTCCCGTCTTACTTTCAAGTTTTATTTGATGGCTTTTAACAGCATTTGTCATTCTCCATAATCTATTCAGTTATAATGTTCATGATGAAATCCATCAATTCCCTTTTTTTTAATGGACAGTGATTTTTTTAAAAGCTGCTTTGATTTTTTTGTTTATTTAATCAGTCCACAAATGCTAGTTGAGCATCTACTAGGTGTCGGACACGGGAAATATAGTGGGAGTTAGTCCTTGTGCCTGCCTGTATAGACCTGGTAGTCTCCCTGTGAACACCAAAAACAGTTACCTACCTGCAAGTATGATACATGCTAAAGATGAAAACTTCAGGATTCTATGAGAGTGCATGCTAGACGGATGACCCAGTCTGAGGAAGTGACACATAATGTGGAACATGAAGGGTGCCTAGGACTTTGCTAGAACACAGCACACAGGGACTAGTATGCGCACAGGAACTAAGGCAGACACAAGTTTTGTGTTTTTGAGGACCCTGATGAAGGGCAGTGTGGCTGGTATATCAGGAGCAAAAGGGACAAGACGAACACGGGGCAGGTGGGCCAGGCAGCACTTGAAGGCGTGTTAAGGATTTGAGCCTCTGTCAGTGGGGAGCAGTGGAAGGGTTTAAGGCGGAGGAGTGGCATTTGTTGGTAGCCCGTGAAATTAAGAAAGGCCAAGTGACCTTTGCACTGTCATTTTCTTCCCTCTTGGTCAGGAGTATGACTGTAGAAACTATCAGCCGAGCCAGATGAGTGAATCCGAGTTGCAGATGCTGGCAAGCCTACGGCGGCAGCAGAATGAAGAGTTGGAGGAGGCTGGGGCTTTGCATGGCCTGAGTGCCTCCCAGGTTGACAACTGTAATGTCAGCATAAGCACCAGCAGTGACGACACAACCACCTGGAACTCCTGTCTGCCACCTGTGAGTGCCAAGCTTTGCACTTTGCTTTATTGCCTTAGGGAGGAGCAGGCTTCTTTCTAACAAAGCCTGGCCTCAACTGGGAAAACCAGGGCCAAACTGAGAATACCCGCCACAGAAATATTCAGAGCCCATCCAGAAATACAGTGTTTTAGAACTGGGGACAGAAATTAGAAGGTGACATTGTCTTTTCTTGAATTGTTTTTTTACCTTCAGAATATGGATGTTAGTGGTATGGTGATGCATAAAGCTATATATTGGAAGAAAAAAAGAATAATTTTACCATAGACTCTGGGTATCCCATTGTATCCCCAGCTCCTAGCACAGCCCCCAATCCAAAGAAGGGGCTCATTGTTTGTTAAATAAAGAGTGAATAAACAAAAAGGAAAAGGCTGTAAGTGCGCTAAGTGTTGCTCAGGTGTCAGAAGAGAAAAGGACCTTCTATAGAAGTCACCAGATGTTTATGGACACCTCCCTGCACCTAAGGGGCCCTGCCAGGTGCTGTGGATTCCCGTGTTTACACAGTTAAAGCATTTTAAATACGGTCCACAATCCTCACTGCAACCTGGTGGAGGAATTGCAGCTCTGAGTCTTCCTGCTTTTCAGGTAAAGAAATGGGAGCCTGGGACCAAGTTTCTATACCTGGTCAGATCAGTCCCTTGTCTACAGAACTGTCCTCATGAATCTTATGGTTTAATTGGGAAGACAAAGCATAAACAGTCCAGTATAGCACAGGAAATAGCACAAAGGAGAATACTAATAATCGTTATTACTATAGTAGTGGTAATTGTAACTAGCGTTTTTTAAGCACTTAGAGTCATTTTAAAATCTCCATAGGCCCAGAGGCCCAAGGAATGTTTGCTCATAAGGCCACATTCAATGTCATAGCAAACATATTAAAATAACACTTTCATCCAACAGTAGGTATAGCTTTTTTACTATGCAATTTTTGAAAGGCTATTTAGAATTCTATTACTTTGACTCCTGCTTTTATGTAACTATATAAAGGTTGAGTTAATATGCAGTTGATAATGTGACAAGTTATGTTATAGGTATTTAAACATTTATTAATTTTGATTTTGCAATTTTCTTTTTGTATCTTAAAGCCAATTTTTTCCAAGTCTCTGACATCTTTGTAGGTCTTGGAAATCTCACAGGCCGTGGTATCTAGTGCTTTACATGTGTTACCTGATTTACTCCTCACAGCTACTCTGTGTGGTGAGCACTGTTAGAGGCCCCCGTTTTCAGACGAGAAACCTGAAGCTCCTTAATAAAGTGATCCAGATAGAGCCTGGCCTGACACCAAGTCGGAGCTCCTAACCACCATGATATGTGACTTAATCGTCAAATGAGTGCCACAGGTATCCAGTGGAAGGAAGATTTCTGTGCTCTGGAGAGAACTTCCAAGTCTTCAGGGAAAAAGAGGAATTCCAATTGGCTCTAAGGAGATATAAAGAAAAGAAATGATGTTAATTTTTCATTAGAGTTCTTTATTCCTCTGCCCTCCTTACTCATTCCCCAGGTTTCTCTTGCGTTAATTGTACTTCCATTTCACAAAATTTGTACTTTCATTTCACAGAACTATCAAGCATACATATGGCCCCAAGCAGCCTTGGTGCCAAAGAGTATCCACCCACCCAGCAAAAATATCCCTGTGTTCCAGTTACTCAGAGTATTCTTGTAGCCAGAGCTAAGAACACAAGAGTCAGTTGCAGATTTTTGCCAATGCTGTTTGTATCAGAGTTGAAACATTGCCTTTCCTGACAAATATTCCTCAGCAGTCATTTAAACCACAAGTAAGAAAGAGAACAGTGGCCTCCTGATAGAGCTCATTCTGTCATGAAGTAGCTCAGAGACCAAGATTACAAAGGGCAAGCTGAGGAATGATTATTTATGGACTGAAAAGCCTGAACTCTTGGTTGCCCTGGATACCGTGTTCTCTTCACAGTCCTGTTCTGGCAAGGACTGAAGTCTCCTGCGTGACAACTATTCCACTCTAAAAGTATACGGCCAAAAATAACACCATTGGTAATGAACTCAATAACCCCTCTGTTTCACCACATGAGAGATTGAAAACAGTCTATTTTTTAGACAGAGAAGATATTGAAAAACCTACCTTTGTATTCATAGGATATTATGTTTAGTATTGCATCACATTCAGTCTATTCCAAAATTGGAAATATCACCAAATGGGAAATTGCATTCCTTAATAAACTCTGCATCTTGTTGCTTATGTAGAGTTTAAATAGAGCGATTTACAAGCACCATCGTGATCTAAGAGCTCATGACTTTCTCTTTAGACCTTGTACCGGGACGGTGAAAATGAAGAAATGAAAAAACTCATCATTTTGATTATCACAATGATATTTTGAAAATCAATTAGGTGTTATCTAAATACATTCACCAACCTTTGAGAACTGAAGGGTCTTCACAGAACATTAATATTAATACCCCCACTAATAAAAGGAAAGAAAAATAATCATAGTTTAATACAATGGTGAAAAGAAATGAGGGCATAGACCCGAGGATTTCTAGGATGTTCAAAATAATTGAGAAATGTTTAATATTATCAGTTGTTCCATACTCTGAAAATACAAAAGGCGAGTGAACAATCTCAAGAATGTCATCAACTCCAAACCCCCTTGCACGCAGCCAGTACTCTTTTAGCTCTCCATAATTTCCTTGGTAGAACATTCATTCCTTCATTCAATAGTTAGAATATTCAAATTCAAGAACTCAAGTTCTCTCTTGAATTCTGAATTCTACTGGGCATCTTCACCTGGATGGCCCACAGCCACCTCAGACTCAACATGCCTAATTTGAACCCATGTCTTTCTTCTTTACCACCCTCCTCCCCTGTATTTCAGCGAGTGCTGCCACCACCCACCCTGGTATTCAAGCCAGAAATTTGGAAGATATCTTCACTTCTCCCACTCCTTCATTCCCATATCCGATTGATCTCCAAACCCTGAGACGCCTGTCTCCTTTATTCCTCGTAACCTTCCCTAGCTAATGCCACAGGCTTCACACTTTATTTTTCATTCAAACTCTTCACCTAACACCTCTGTGCCTCCCATCCAAGCACCTAGTGGTTAGGAGCAAACACTCTGAAGTCCAGTTGCCAAGTTGAAGCCGTGACCTTGTAAAGTACTTGGCGCTGTATCTGAGGGTTGTTATTATTATTATAATTACTCACATTAATGATCTTTCTAAAGCCCAGATCTTACCTTATCTCTTGCCTGTTTTAAGCCCATCAGTGACTCCCCACCGTCTCCTTAGTTTGGCATACAGTGCCCTTCATGATCTGAGACCTGCCCCCCTCTCCAGCTTCATCTCTCACTGCTCCCCACCTTTCACTCCATGTGTTAGTCCAGTTGTAATTCCCTAAATGCACTGTGTACATATCCTTGTACCGGATTATCCCTCAAGACTTAGCTCTGAAGTCTCTACAGCCGTACCCCAGACCTCATTGTTAAGGACACACCCTTCTTTCTGCCACTAGCGATAGGAACATCTCTGTGATAAGTCTCGCCACACTCTAGTGTTACCAAGTTTGCTTGTCTGTCTCTCATTAATTCATTCCACACGTATTTTATTTGAGTTCTAGAATATGCTATGGACTGTGCTGAGTGGTGAGGATACACATAAGCTGCTACCTAGTCTTGAGATGCTCACAGTTTTGGAGGGAGGCAGAGATGTAAATAGCTCACTCTAACTCAGGTTAGTAAGTGATATTAGAATAAAGAGTTATCAGAACACCAGAGAGGGAGAAATTAATTCTACCTATTGGTTTCCACCAACCACTGCACAGGAGAAAAGACCAGGCAATCTGCTCCTGTAAAGATTACAGCCTAAGAAACCCTATGGGGAAGTTCTACTCTGTTCTACAGGGTCGCTGTGAGTTGGAATTGACTCAACAGCACACAGCAACAGTTGGTTTCAGGGATGCTTTTACAGAGAAGGCAACGGTTAAGCCAGTATTTAAGAATGAGTACAAGTTCACCAGGTAGACAAGAGGGAAAAAGGAATTCCAGGCTCTGAAAAGGAGAATTAAGTCTGGGGTGGGGAAGGGGAGGGGAGGGTGGAGTCCTTCCTTTAGCAAGATAACTTCCTCATAGTGCCTTTGTTTCTCCATCAACTTGAGCAGGAATTGAAATGAGTGTTTGCTTCTGTCTCACCATCACTACCCACTCCCCACCCTCCACCCAAGGTACACACAGTTGTTATTGCCATGAGGTCGACTGTGACTCATGGCAACCTTATGTATACCAGAACAAAACGCTGGCTGCTCCTGTGCCATCTTCGTGATGGTTGGTATGTTTGAGTCCATTGTGGGGCTGTTGTGTCAATCTGTCTCATTCGGGGTTTTCCTCATTCTCACGGACTCTCTACTAAACACGATGTCCTTTTCTAGTGATTGGTCTTTTCTGATAACATGTCCAAAGTAAGCAAGCGAAAGTCTCACCGTCCTCACTTCTAAGGAGCATTCTGGTTGTAAAGTAGAACTATTGTATACCTTCGCTACACTGTGCAACTTGCTTGTCACTAGCTGAGCCATGCCCTTTTTTCAGATCATGCCGTTGCTCCAGAACTTTCCTTTGCCTGGAATGCCCCTCCATCTCCCTTCTCTACCTAGAACGACCCTACTTGTTCTTGAAGGCACAACTCAAATGTCACTGCTTCATGAAACCCTCCCCAGCCCTCAACCCACCCTGAACATTATTCCTTCTCTGGGATCCTATTGTCTTCGGTGAGCCTTATTGTAGCCTTTACCATATCCCATAACCGTTCTTATCAAGGTCACCCAGACCTGACTTGAGCTCCTTGAAGGCAGGACCATGCGTCAGCCTTCTCTGTACCTTCCATGCTGAGCACAGAGCCCGGCAGGAGGTCGGCACTCAACCACTACTGGTTGTCGGTCATTAGTTGAATGAATTAATCAATAATATTTTCAAAATTCCTTTTTTACCCTAAAATAAAGTAGTTTTGGTCACAATTCCAAA